TCTGTTCTCGTCGATCACTCGTGAGAAAAACGGGGACAATCTCTCCCCCCCAGCTCAAAAAACAAGTCCACCTGTAGCTACGGCACAGCTGCTCTGTCACTGCTGACAATCGTGGAAAGGTAATTAAGTCATTGGGAGAAATGCGGCTTAATGTTTCCCCTCAGAAGGCTGCTCGTTAGTGCTCCGTTTCCTAATGCTCCGTCCAATTATGCTGTGTTTGTGAACCATTTGTTGAGGGTCTGTTCCCAAGCGGAAAACCCGGCTCTGAGGGCAGTCTGGACTAAAAGTGCATCTCACAACCGAAGCGAATGGGGAGAATTAAATTAGAGCCTCCAGGAGGCTTTTTGTGGCGTCAGCGGCATGGATGCTCGGACGATCTCAAACCCAATCACGAGTAATTCATGCTCGCTAATGCTAAATCTATTTGATGCTGAATGGACCTTTTTATCCCCCTTAGTTAAAATCATTTGACTAAAGTTTACCAGAAATAACCTTTTATGAAATTACATTAAGTAGGGCGTAAAGCGACATGCAGACGCTTTCTTTTATTTTGTTGTGAAGAACGTTGCCTTGTTTATTTGCAGTTCATTACAAATCAAGCTGGTCATGTTATTTTTTTTTTTTATACAGTTGAAGTTTTTTCTACTTTTGGGGTTAGGTTTAATGTTTTTAATGTATTTTTTTTTTGCTCTGTTTTTGGGTATGCATGTTTAATGGATCCATCAACCTCCACATGTTTTATTAGGATTTTATGTGATAGACCCCCGCAAAGTTGTGGCTAATCATAGTTTTCAAAAATGTTAAAAAGAAAAAGAAAAAACATGTGGCTTGCATTTCCATTCTCCAGATCTGGACTTTGACTAACAGGTTTGCTCCCACTATCACTCCCTGTTTCCCCATTAACTCTGAGCAGCTTCCCTGACTCTACTGGAAAAGAAACATCCCACAGCATCATCCCGCCGCCATCGTGTATCACCATGTGAAGGGTCTGCTTTGAATGTCACAATAACTATCCCTCGTCTGTCTGTTGCTGCCCTAAAATGACCAAATCTTAACGAGTATTTTTGTCCAGTTTCAAGTGCAAATATCTTACGAATAAATTTTCAGCAAGATATAGGAAGGTTTCTTTAGTCGCTAAAGCTTACTAGTTCCACAGGCAGATTATTTTGCATATAGCAAGACATTTTTCCTATAATTGAAATAAAATGCCAGTGTAACTTGTACTTTTTAGTTTGATCAATATCTTTTTTTCAATTTTAGGTTTGTATTATTTCTAGTGCACTAAGAGTTTTGCACTAAGAAACTAGACCAGAAATACTTGGTAAGATCTTGAGTTTTTGCAGTGAATACCACGTTTTAGATTTTAATTTGTATAAACTAATATCAATCTCCTTTCTATTTCAAGTTGTACACTATTTTGTTTTGGTCGCACATAAAATCCTTCTAAAAAGAGTTTGTGTCTGTAACACGACATGATGAGGACAAGCTGACGGGGGGTGAATACATTTGCGCGATGCTGTAATAGTTGCGTTGGTAAGTGAGAGTCGGAAGCAGATTGTCTCTGTGATTAAAACCACACTGACAAGACTCAGAGACTCCTGCACATGAAGAAATTAAGTCAAAGAGCTTTCAGAGGTGCAGATATCAGTCGACCTCTGTCCTGCTCGACGTCGCTGCAGGGACCGTGCTCTGTTCGTCAGGATTTAAAGTCGGCGCTGACATTCTCGTTTTTGAAGGCAGCGGCTCTCAATTACATAAACACAAAGACTGTGTCAAATCCAAAGAGCCTCTAAACGCCTCGGCAGCAATCATATCTCACATGAAACCCTTTCCACAAATGAAGGCCTTTACATGGTTGCACCCCAAATTATGGACTATTTAAATATCTGTAGTTAGTGTTCTGTATTTAATCTGTCCAGCTGCAAAATCAGCGCAGAACATCCAATAGGAGAGATTGAGATTGTGCTTGTCGTTTGCAAGGACGACAACAAAGAGATGCCCAGTTCACTGACAATTATCCATTTCCCCGTGGCTCTGTCAGCGTAGGTCAGGTAAGATGTATGAGAACCTTTCAGTTGGGATTTTTTTCCCTATGTTTACATCAACATTCCCAGGAATCCCCCCCCCCTTTTTTTTTGGGCTTTGGATAGAGAGCAGGCAGGATCTGGCACGTCCTCTTCAATGTTGACATTGCCAACGTGAGTTTCTGTCAAGTTGCTCCCCCTTGTTTGTTTTAAACCGGTGGGGGCTTTTACCCACATATAGGCGGGAGGATGCGCTGCAGCCTTTTCATTTGCATCATTTGTTCCCACGTGTCCACTATTTTAGAATACCGTGATTGTTTATTGTTACGCAACACATTTTGTTTCTTGGTGCATTAGTCTGGACTGAATAAAGGATGACGACGGCAGATAGTGACTCAGTTTATCTAGGCCAGCCCCCCTCCCCCACCCTCCCTTTTCTTGCACTTAATACACCAGATGAGTTCACCCTTCTTGTTAGATTAACGTCTTTTTCAAAGTGGGAGCTGTTAAACGGTGGACATCTGCAGAGAACAAGCAGCAGTCTCCCTGAAGTGTGTTTCCATTCATCCTCTGACTTTTAAAACTCTGTCCGTTTTTGTGAATGAGTCATTGACAGATAGATTTCCCCGAGGACATGCAGGCAGTTTTCCAGTATTCCGTTTCTGCGCCATTCTGTCAACATTTGAAAGGTCATACGGTGACCTCAGACACAAGAGGAAATGATGCAAATCTGCTTAGAAGAGAATCTGAACACATCCTGTTTTTACTTTTTTGAGCTGAAGTTGTAGCGAAAAGGCAACTACTTACTGGGTTGCACAGACATGGGATGTCAATTTTCTTATGAATGACAATTTGACAAAAATATTTTTTTTTTAAATGAAAATTCACGCAGTTCTCGGATAAACAGGAATTTCCTTTAAGATTCTGGTAAGCATTGTTGCTGAGGATGTGTTAAAATATGGTGGCAGTGAATGGAAGCAGCTAAAATTCTCACTTCTTCGCACATAATCAGTCCGTTTCTTTACTCGTGCACCTCACTGATGTAGTCGTCAAAATGTTATTCTTACTACAGAGAATTCTTACCTAAGAAACTTTATGCTCACAAACAACACCTGCAGTCACCTCTTGTTATTGCATGAACTGTGTTTTGGTTTTTCTCTCAGTCGTGTGTGTTTGTTTTTTCCCTTGAACCCCCAGTTGCAGCTGTTTCATGATCCTGGGGTGAACAGCGATTCAAAAGCGCGCCTGGTGCTCACGGCTGTTTCCTGTTCTCGCTCCGTCTTTTTTTTTTTAGGTTGTGAATAATATTTCACAGATTCCTGATGGAAAGGTATTTTTTTATTGTCAAGAATCCGATCTGTTTTCTGTTAAAGGTGACCTTAAGAATCTAACTATGGTGGTGCGTTTCCATTTACTAGAGTTGTGGCGCCGAGGACTATATTTGTCGAAAGGCAGATTCTTTTCTTTAGCTTGAAGTATATTTTCTCTCTGGTTTAAGAAATAAAAATTATTCACTCTGCAATTTATTGTGTAAACTGCAGCGTGAATTGCTGGACGTAAGAAGTTGTCCAGCGCTTGGTGTTTTTCCAAGACCCCACTTCCACGCACAGTGTGAGTTTTTCCCCTGGTCTTGTTGTGATCCATTTGTCGTAATTGACAGAGTCAGCAGAGTGCGACTGGAGAAAGAACAGAGTAATCTCATCTCTCGAATCAATCCTGAGGGAATTTTTTCCACTAGATAATTTAATGTGATTCCTTTGTAATTTTTATCAAATCAAATTTAACTTGATTACCCAAAGAGGGAAGTTCATTTAATCAGGTTTACAAAGAAGTCATTGAGAGTCAGTCAAAGGAGACACAGTCTAGCTGTAAACCTGCAGATTTTCTACAATCAAGAAGTGTTACGTGTGGCTATTTGGGGGTTTTATGTATTTTTAATCGAACTTTGATTTTTTTAGTTAACTTTGACTCAAAGTTAACTATTTTGGGTATCAGTGAAATGTTTCAAACTTAGTGCAGAGCGAGATCTAAAATCAAACACAAATCTGATTTGTGCATCTATGCTATTTATATCTTTTCTTTTCATCATCCAAAAAAAAAAAAAAATTACATTCCCACTAAGGCTCTTCTGTCTTTTCATCTTTCACTTGCAGACAGTATTTTTTTTAAAACCTTTCCATAAATATATACTATAACATGAAGCTATGTTGCAGTGTGGAGGAACAAGAGGAATGCCTTAATGTCTGCATATGAGCTGGCTGCGTGCGCACATGTTTGTGTGCTTTATGAGCTGGGGCATGCAGGAAACAGGCCGAAGTATCCGGCTATTTTTGCTGTTCCTTGATAAGAGAAGGTGTTTCCTCCGCTGCCAGGACGACTCCTCGGGGCCCATTGTTTGGAGGCAGTGGTGATTTGTTGTTTTGAAGTGTACGTTTTGCGTCCCTCGCCTGTCTGGACGGACGACGGCAGGACAAGTGGACTGAAATGGGGTTGGGGTGCCGGGGGGTCATGTGCATCAGGGTGGGGGAAGGGAGTGTGTGTGTGTTTTCTTTTTTTAGTTGTTTTTTTAATAGATTATTCAAAGAATCTGGGTTAGACATGGATCCCCCCCGCTGTTTCTAACGCCGCTGTCAGTTAGCCCGGCTATGACATCATCGCCGTATCCCGGTGTTGTACACAGGCATCCCCACTGTTCCCGCCTCCAAGAAAACAATCCCTCTGTTGGCGTGATGACAGCATCCCCATCGAGGCCAGAGACAACACAGCACAAACCAATCATTATTGTAGATAGTGAAGCAATGGGGGACGTCATTCCTCCCTGCAGTGGCTGATTGAAGGGCGCTCTGTGATACAAACATGCACAATTGATAGAGGGGCCAAAGGGGGGATTATTCACAGTAATCTGCACAAATGTTGCGTGATGTGAATGTTTGCATTGATCCCACTTCCCTTCTGTCTTTTGTCTTTGATTTGCAGCTGAGAAGGTGTCATCGCTGGGGAAGGACTGGCACAAACTGTGCCTCAAATGTGACCGCTGCAACAAGCTTCTGAATGCAGGAGGCCACGCAGAGGTCAGTGGGTTCAAACTGTGAAATCTCTCTCTCTCTCTCTCTATCTCTATATCTATCTATCTATCTATCTATCTATCTATCTATCTATCTATCTATCTATCTATCTATCTATATATATATATATATATATATATATATATATATATATATATATATATATATATATATATATATATATATATATATATATATATATCCATGAAAAGATAAAATATTAGTTTTTTTCTGAAATTAGTTTAAATTGCCGTGTAGACATTGTGTCGGAGAAAGGAGACATTTTTGCTTTATGAGCTCATTTGTTTCAACCATTATTCATTAATGATTTTTAAATTTTTTTTATTTAACCTTGTCATTGAGATTACAAATCTTTTTTGCAAGAGAATCCTAGTCTGACTTCTTGAAGTCAAGTCAGCCTTTTTTCCTTTTTTTTTATTTTTTTATATTATAATACTTTTAAAATGAAAGTTGACCAAAGTGCTGCACAAAGTAGAACAACAACACACAGTTAACTTTACCAAGATATAAACTACGATAACTCATGGCAATATGATCAGATAAAAGAATGAGACGAGACGACTCGGCACAGTAGTCACAGGTCTGCAACCTTTAGGACTTCAGTATTCCTGCAGTCCCTTCATTGCTACTGCAACGTCTAAGAGCCAGAATCGATTGTTGCCTGGTGATTATCAGACTTGCAGACAGAATCTCTGAATTTTGGCCTTTTGGGCCTGAGGTGTCGTGTAACACCAGAGTCCGTAGTCTCTTTTAAACAGTCCTGTGACGTATCGGAGTGTTATTTTTCCTTCTCTGGGTCATGATATGTCGCAGTCCTTGTGCATCTGTCACCGGATATATTTGTGTCTGCTTTCCGTTTTCCGGGCCTGTTTTGTGTGTCTCGATATGTTGGGTCTTCATGGGATGTTTTTCTCCCTCCAGCCCTGCAGGATGAGCCGTTTTCAGATCCCGCCTCTCTGTCCTGCAGTCAGACTGCAGTATCACATCTCAGTCAGGTTCCCCTGACGCTGCACTGCTCACTGTCTGCTTCTGCCTTTTCAGGATTCTCTCATCTCATCGTTTTTGATTTACCCGTTCATGACCCGGGCAACTATGCTTTCTTTTTTTCTTCTTATTTTTAAAGACTCTTCTTGATCTCCCGCTCTTTTTTTTTTTTCCTTTTTGGTCAAAGAGGATGTGATCTCAACCTCTTTGGACACAAAAGCAATTTTCCCCCACAGATCCCAAAGGATGCTTGTCTGCCGTTTAATCTCTGCCTGATTGCAGTACTGTAGTCGCACACAGTCTCTCTCCGAGGCCCTCGCTCGCTCTTCCCGCCGTCCTCCGCTCCGTGGAGGGCATCCAAGTCCCTCCCCACGCCACGACTCTTACTTTAACAGGAAGACGAATCTCTGCCCGATCGTCGTCATGGAAACTCGAGGCCCGGTGACGTTCCTTCTGGAAAGAAATGTTTAAAAGGGATTGTCCGGGAGTGCTGTTTGTTATCCTCTCAGGCCCGGTATGTGGAAGGTTGCGAACCCCAGAAGAACGAGGACTGCTGCTTTAAAAGGAGTCGTAGGGACAGGATGCGGCCCAGAGCGGCCTGACGTCTGTGGGCTAAACGAGGGCAGCGGTTTCCCCCCAGGCGCGACCTCCAACATGCGACGTGACAAGTCTCCGTTGTTGACCCTGAAAGAGCATGGCTTTATTTGTTCCAGCACATTCAGAGGTGTTTTTTTTTTTTTTTTTTTAAACGTAACGCTGCTGGAACGTCAGAACCATCTGGACTCAGTTAACATCTATAAATCCTAATGGTCACGAATTAGCGCATGTGCTGGGTTAAAATGTTTGACTTAATCTTTAACAGCTTCAAATCCGGTCAAAGTGAGTCACTCGTCCGTTCAGATATGTTCACTTTCTCGCAAATGGAATAAAAGCTACCGGTTGTTTTCAACTGCAGCGACTTGAAGGTCCACTTCTCATCTGCATTTGCAAGCTTTCGGCACTTTGCTGATGAGCACTGGCTCTTCTGGCTGCTTTAGGGTCAGCTGCATCACTCGGGAGGGGTCAGCAGTCATCGCATGAGCCTAGTGGGCCTTGATGATGCTCTGAAGCCGACTGTACGGGTCATAAAAACGTCAGAATGATCAGGGACAGTCGTGCTAAATCAGTGCTCGATTTCTGTGTAAAGCCCTCGAAAGCACCTGATATTCAAACTGCACAGTTTGATATTAAAGTGTAATCTGACGTTTGATTAAAAGCCTTAATTTACTTACAGTTGAAACCACATTTTTAAAGATAATATAAATATCTCACTGTCTGAACAAATTCATTTCTCTTGTTTTAGGTCGGTTAAGATTGGCTGGACTGAACTAATTTACTAATAAGGCACCTAAATAACCGACTATATGCCACAGAAGGCATCTAATTAGTGAAACAAAACGTTTCACCCTAATGTGGAAAAAAATGGTTTTTGGTAGCATCACGCTACGGACGTTCCTTCATTTATCAGGGACATTATTGTTCCGTTAGATAAAATCCTGATGCAATGCGTTGTAATGTGAGAAACTGTGGAAAAGTTCAATGTGTCAGAAATGTTTTCAGAAGGCTCAGCTAATGTAAACTCTTTCATCACACTGCTCTTATTTTCAGCCATCTAAAATGATTAAACTCAGACAATACAGGAAGGAAATTCGGCCCTGTTCGCTTACATGACCTGCAGCGACGGGTCGTTCCTGAACTGCTGCTGATTCCAGGGTTCATCAGGAAATCCTAGAAGAAACATGAACTTTAACTTCATATATAGGGGTCTTATTAAGTAATAACTCACCCTGAAACGGATGGCAGGGAGTTTGTCCGCAGAAAATAAAAAAGTAAAGCGGCTAAACCTTCAGAGATGATTTAGCAGCTGAAAGGTGAGCAGTGGTTTAGAAACCAGAGCACAGAGTTGGAGCAAACCTTAAGTGTGTGTGACAGTGTGGGAGGTTTAACTGCTGGGAAGAGAGTGGGCTTTTCTTTGAGTGGCGAATCCATTTTTGAGTTCACTTTGCGTCCCGTCTGTCCGTACGGTCGGATCCCGGGGAAGACGTCAGAGTCGGAGTCCGACTCCGTACCGTCGGGAGTCTCGTAAAAGCCGAACGCGAGGCCCAGAGGGAGAGTGTGGCGGCTTTAACAACAGCCAATCCTGTCACGGCTGATGCATTATTAAAGTCAGAGAGCGATCTTTTCTTTCTTCTTCGCTGTCCTTCGAGGAAGAAAAAAAATAAATAAAGAGCTCAGGTGGCCATGGCGAAGTGAGCAGTGGCTGGTTTTCCACTCATCACCCTGCAGGTCTCGCCACCTGCTCGCTGATTTTTCTCATCTATGGGCATTGGAGCCTGCACACACACCGGTGGCCCCTCGCCCCCGATCCCCTTCACCCATCACATGTTTCTGCGGTGGCTGACACATTCCCAGTGTGCATCGGATTCAAGACCTTTTATGTCACAACTTAGATTTTTTTATTTCCCTTTTCCTCCCCCTTTTTTCTTGGGAATGGAAACACGATGTCTGTCAAACATGTGCAGACACAAAGCTCCCATTGAAGTGTGTGTGTGTGTGCGTGTGTGTGTGTGTGTGTGTGTGTGTGTGTATTCATCAACAGAGACCGGTTTCCTGGATACAGTAGCGCTCGTTATTTTAGGTTATAGCACCCTGTGACAACGACTTCATCATTAGGTGGCAGAAGGATAAAAAAAAGCTCCATTTTTGGACATGTTCCTCCATCTGCAACATTTTTAACACCGGGAAAGTGTGTGAACGTTATGACTTCACACACACATCATGTCCAGCTTCCCTTCTGTTTTATGTACTCTAGAAGTGAATCAGTTTGGGGGTTTTCTCCCGCTAACGATGATATGTTCTCTCTCTGCAGCACGATGGAAGGCCCTACTGCCACAAACCATGCTATGCTGCCCTCTTTGGGCCAAAAGGTGAACTGCACTCCCGTCTCACACCGTTGCATTATTAAAAACCCATTTGATTTATTTATGCAGAGTTTCTCTGCTGGTGAGATGCATGTAACTCTCTATATTTAGCTCCTTACCTGTTATACGAAAATATATATAATCTGGAACATTTTAATGCAGATAATTCATCAAATGAATATTATATCCACTACATCTGTGTAATTCTAAATCCTTTTTTCGTCTTCCTACTCTACCCGAGGTGTTAACATTGGAGGAGCAGGTTCTTATGTGTACGATTCTCCAGCCAACAACAACACCGGTGGGGATTCGGCCTCTAAAGTCGAAGAGAAGCGCGTGTACGCGCCAAAGGCGCCATCAAAAGGTATTTCAGACGCAGCGTTCATAAAAAAAAATTCTGCGGTCGGTTTAAAATCTACGTGAGAAAATGATCTGACGTTCTCTCTTTGTTTGGGAGTTCGATATAAAGGCTGCAACTAACGAGTATTCGAGTAATTCCCTCGTTTTTGTTTTTTTTTCTTACGACGATTAATCTGATTTTTAAAAATCGGCGCAGTCTGTAGATTTTTGATTTAACAATCTAATCTGTTTTTATGCAATATTGGAAATACATTAAAAGATGCAAATAAACAAAGAAGTCAGTTTGTTTCTTTTTTTTAAATAAGAAAATAAACATTTTATTGCCCAAAATGGAATAACACCAGGCAATATTCATCATTCGTAGCAAAGATGCATCTGCAGCTAAAAGAAGGTCAGTAGGTCTTGATAGGTCAATAGGTCTTGACCTTATGTATTGTATTAACATTAATACAGTGTAGTGCTGATTTGTGGATTATTTATTGGATCTACTGATTAGTTGGAAAAGGTGCTTAATAGACTTTTTTAAATATACATTAATATAATTTGAACCAGGTGGAGCTAAAACTGCCTTTTGAGGCGTTCTAGGTAGAACATGTTTACAAAAGTTAGTTTTTTTTTTTATCTTAAAAGCAAAATGTAAGTTTTTTTTCTTGGACAGCTTTGGCTTAATTACGGCTCTGAGTACACTGTTATCTCAGCAAATGTCTTTTTTTTTAGTCTCTAGTCATCGATTAATCACTTACTCATTTAGTTGACAATCATTTCGATAAGCAATTCGTCTGATTAATTGCTCCAGCCCTGCTTGATATTATGTGACAAACAAGCAATATGTACTGCATAGCTGTAAAGTGAAAGTCAACGATAGTTTTCAACATTTTTTTAAATGCCGAAATCTAAAAAGTGTGGCATGCGTTGGTATTCGGCCCCATCGGCTGCTTCCCTCGTTAACGCCGCAGCCCGCCAGATTCACGCAGTTTCAGGAAGGCGTTTCTGTCTCAGACTTTGGACGGAACAAAGTTCTGATAGATGTTCAAAGCTTGAGATGTGGCTTTGTGACCTAACCCTGCTTCAAACGTCTCCGTAGCTTCCTCCTGTCTGCTGTGTTCCTAGTCTGCCTGGCGCTGTTTGCTCTCTAATCCTCTCTAACAAAGAACAGCTGGATTTACACAGAGATTAAATAACACACAGGGGGATTTTATGTAATTAGATGCCCTCCAAGGCACCTAATTGGAAATTTAGATGTTTAATTGGGCACCTAATTAGTAAATTAGATGCAGCGCGTAACTGGCTGCACAGAACTTAGAGGATATCAGGATAAAAGGGGGGTAAATACAAATGCATTACACGTTTTGTTATTTTTAGATGTGAACATTTTTGAAATCATTTCTAATTGTTCTTCCATTTTTTTTTGCAATTAAGATCTAATTTGTGTTTAGCTGTCGAATAAAATGTAGCTTGAGGAAATGTGGAAAGGTTCTGAGTGTGAATGCTTCATGTTGTGGATCCGTCGGTCAGCTGAGCCTCGTGTTTGTGTGGGGAAACATGGAAGCTGCTGTTCAGTCAGAGCACGTCTCCTGTCGTCTCACGCTGTTACAAAGCACGCCTTACGATCGAGTCTGATAGGAAACAATGAGTTAAGTTTCTGAACTTGGCAATATTTGGGTGTTTTATATAAACTTCCCTTGAAATCCATAAAACGTAACATTTCTTTCCTGTCCTTTCATTATTGCCCCAGTGGAGTTCACACCCAGCAGGACCAGACTAATACTCATTCATCAGTTTTCATTCTTTTTTTTCCCCCACATTTGTTCTTTAGAGACTTTCCCCTAGGTGTTTTTTTTTTTTTTTTTTTTTTTTTCATTTCCTGCAGCTGGCAGCATCACCACTTTCTCCGGCGAGGCCAACCTTTGTCCCCGATGCAACAAGAAGGTGTACTTTGGTGAGTCGTTAAAACGCCTCCTTACAGGGAAAAGGCGCGGACGTGCAAAGCGTCTGACGTATGAAATGTGTGTCTGCTTTCCGTCCCTTTAGCCGAGAAGGTGACGTCCCTGGGGAAGGACTGGCACCGGCCCTGTCTGCGCTGCGAGAGGTGCAGCAAGACTCTGGCTCCTGGCAGCCACGCAGAGGTGACGGCACGCATTAGGTTTTGGTTTTTTACTGTGCAGCCTAATACAGGCCTGTTAAAAGCATTCATGAAACATTCGTAGACTTTGAGCAGATTTAGATGTAAAAATGCTCACTTTCGTTCAACTGAGAAGTTTGTTTCTCATTGAAAGTCGGACTGAAGTTAATGAACAATTTTCTACATAAGAAAAATGTAATCCTGTATTGACAGTTATTTTCACCCTCCTCAATAATAAACTGAAAAATCTTTATTCATTTCATCATGACAGCTGGTGCTTTTTGCACGCCTCCTCTAGTCCGTCTTGCCATCACCCTTCCTATACAGATTCTCCATCATACTGGTGTTATGTATTGTAGTCAGAGGAAAAATGTTGGTGGGAAAAAAAATTACACTGGACAGTGGTTTTTAAAAGGTTAAGCAATACTTACCAAAAACCAACAACATAAGTGACCACAATCAAGTTGGGTAATAGGAAATATTGACAGTACAGATCCCCACCGTTTCCACCTCCAAGCTAACATTATGAGCTCTTCTGAGGAGGAGGAGTTAATTGAAAAGGTCACTTCATATTTCCAACTGCAAACTTCTTTGAGTCTTTTATTACGTCTACGTACGACTGTTTAATCCAGAAGCTCTCTAATAAAATAAATATAATCTAAAAAGGCCAAGATTTGATTCCCCAGAAGATTTTTTACTGCCGTTTTGTAGAGGTTAACATCAGCTGTAGTCTGATTTTTATCCGTGCATATGTAACGTTACGCTGTAGCTGTGAGAGTTTTTTTTTTTTTTTTATTATTATTTTGTTCCATTTCAGAGTAACTTTGTCAAACTAATTGTCGCTGTCTCCTTCCCTCCCCCTCCAGCATGACGGCCAGCCCTACTGCCACAAACCCTGCTACGCCGTCCTCTTTGGACCTAAAGGTAACCGCTAGGGGGCGCTGTCGACCCACGAATCTCCAACTGACACTTGAAAAGAGAATGTCGCACAAGTGTTTCCACTGTGACTGTGCAGCGACCCGTCCTGCTGATGTTTCGCCTTGTTTTCCCCCCTCCTGACTCTTCTCCCGCTGTTCTCCCTTTTTGGTCTCTCCAGGCGTCAACACTGGCGGCGTGGGCAGCTACATCTATGACAAGGAGCCCAGTGCAGTGACCCAGCCTTGAACCTTTTGTCCCCCCCC